AAATTGATGCTATTTAATCGACTTAAGTCAATTGCTTTAAACCAGACAGGGATGGGAATTACGGCAGATCATCTTTTATAACTAGGAAAAGATTAAAATTAACAAAAATGAAGGTGTTAATTTCAAAAATAACCTCGGTGGCTCCCAAGGTATGTCAGGTGGATTGGCAAAGCAATTTACATTACTAAATCGCTGAGAGTTTACAAATTTTTACTAAAGAAACTTACTCAGTAAAAATTATCCAAATTCGCCACATTCGAAGTAATGTACCCATTATACCCCAATATCCGACATATTTTCAAACCCAGCATGCGAAAAAAACTAATTTATTTCTATTCGAATAACTTTTCTAAAGTTTATTTCCAAAGAAGTACCATGTTGATCCAATCACTCATTATTCCACATCCGCACTTAGTTCACTTTTTAATGTATTGGTTCGATTTCTTCTTTCAGTACCACCCATTGCATACAAATGTTAACTGCAAGTTAAATTAACATGTTGTTTCTTTTTATTTGCTTCCATATCTTAATGACTGATCCCGTTTTTCAACACTTTTCGAAAAGTTCGATATGTTTCTTGTCTTTCTGCGTCTCTGGTTCATCATCATAGTGCATTGGGTTATTATCATCTTTTTTATAAACAAAAAAAACATTTGTTTAATATCATCTATTGAGAAAACAAAACAAAAATCAATCAATTGTGAAATCTCAGACAATAAACATTTGCCGGTTTTTTTGTTATTGTTTTATTAACATTTAATTATTTTCGAGAAAGACGCCGAATATAGTAGATATTCAAATAAAACACCATAAAACCGCAAATGTGGCTGATGGGGATGTGATCTGTTTATTGAGAACCCAACCAACATTCCAAAACAATTTTTTTTAAAAGATTTACATCAGAACAAGTTTCGGATGAAAATCTACCGACTTCTATTGTTAGAAAACCAACTACAGGTACTTTCTACGTTTTTCTATGAATAAAACACTAACATATTGTCTTCCAGAAATCCGTTTGTTTTTCGTAACATTTTTGTTGTAATACGAGAAAGCAAATTTTTTTCATTTAAAATTATTCCCTTTTGAATTATAAGAAAAATAATAAAAACAAGTAAAAAAGCTAAGTTCGATCGGGCCAAACTTTCCATTTGGAAGGAACTTGAAAATTTTCAAAAAAATTAAGAAAAATACCTTTATAACTTTATACGGAGGCTATTCGAAGATGTGGACTTGCATAAATAATATAAGTAGGCGGTAGTAGTAGTAGTAAGATCCTCAAATACGAAATTTGAAACAATTCGGGTGAATAATGTCGCTAAAATCATCAAAATACCGAATATGGAGAGGTACCCATTTACGAAATTAACCTGCCTACTGGCAAAATACACATGTACGCTGATCCAGAAAATGTATACTTAGTAGGGTCTACAGGGTGAGATGAAATAACTGCAATCAACTTCAGACTGCTGTCATTTCTAAGCAACTCGTCCGATAGCTGTTAAAATTATTCCAGTGACAGCTCATTATATTGTTTACAAGCGTATAAAAGCATTTTGGTGAGAATTTTCCAGAAAAAGTTATTCGTGATGGAATTCATGCGCGATAGTGTGATTTCTTTATATTTGGCTGGAAAACCACAAGTGGCTATCGTTAGAGCACTCCAGCATTTAAATGTAAATAAATCTTTTGTGTCTCGTACTATCACTCATCGTTTATTCCAGTGACAGCTCATTATATTGTTTACAAGCGTATAAAAGCATTTTGGTGAGAATTTTCCAGAAAAAGTTATTCGTGATGGAATTCATGCGCGATAGTGTGATTTCTTTATATTTGGCTGGAAAACCACAAGTGGCTATCGTTAGAGCACTCCAGCATTTAAATGTAAATAAATCTTTTGTGTCTCGTACTATCACTCATCGTTAGCGTAGCCCGACGTCAAGGAAGTGGACGGAAGAAAACAGCAACATCAGCAGAAATGGTTCGAAAAGTAAAGAAGAAACTTGATCGAAACCCGCGTCGCAGTGGCCGAAAAATGGCTCGTGAGCTAAACATATCGCAATATTCCATTCGGCAAATATTGAAAAATGAGCTGGGGGTAAAGGCATTGAAATTGCAAAAAGTGCAAGAACTTACACCGCAACAGAAAGAAAATAGGCTCAAAACATCTAAAGAGTTGCATCGCTTGGCAGAATGTGGTAAACTGCCGAATTTGGTTTTCTCCGATGAGAAAACATTCGTTGACCAGCAGTTTGTAAACAAAGAAAATTATCGTGTTTATTTGCCAAAGAGGTCAGCTGAAAATGTGCACCTTAGGTTGGCCACCAAAACTCAAGCGCCGGCCATGGTGATGATGTGGGCCGCCATAACAGCCGATGGTCGCTTTCTGCTTGTATTAATCGACCGTGGCATCAGAATAAATGCAGAATAATATCTCAAAAATATTCTGGAGGGCACGCAAACATTTTGGCCGCAGACGTTTGACATTTCAACAGGACTCAGCACGTGCGACCCAAGAATGGTTACAAAATGAGGTTCCTCACTTCATTTCCAGCGCACAATAGCCACCAAAATCTCCGGATACCAATTCGTTGAGCTATTGTTTCTGGAGTATTTTGGAAAGCAAGGTTGGCACCAACAAATATCAAAGTGTCGATCACCTTAAGCAAGAGCTTCGCCGGTAATGGGCCAAAAAACCGCAGAGCAGCATTCGGGCAGCGTGTGACGGTTTCATTGGCCATTTGAAGGTCATAATTCGCGCCAAAGGTGACCAATTCGAACAAATCTAAAATTATTCTAAAATTTGGTGCTATTTCCGACATATTTTGCTTTCATTCAATAAAGTTTAAAAAAATATATAAATTATGTCGTTTGACTTTGTTGCAGTTTTTTATCTCACCCTGTATAGTCTAAATCTGGCACGTTATTATATTTCTCTCAGCCTTAAGTCAGATACGAATTGGTCAATATTGTCCAACTGCTTCGGAACCTCCCCCATAAAGGGTCAACAGTTTGAATAATCATTACTCAAGGCTGGAGTATACATCTGCCGACTAAACCGACTAATACTGTTTTTCTTGTTGAAAAATTTTCAAAATTTGGACTTATGGTGCAAAATCCGTGAAATTCTATTATTTTTCGCGATTTTTTCTTAAATACAAAAATATTGTGGAAACAACAGCTAACAATGTTTGTGTTAAAAACTTCTTATCTTTATATTTCTTACACATTATCATGATCTTCTCTTAAAAACACATCTGATATCTTCATTTTAAGAACATTTGGCATTTATCATTATGTCCATAAAATAAAATTTTGGAAAACCATTTGGTATTCTCATGACTTCATCAATGAACAGATACAAGCAGGCAGGCAGACAGACAAACATTTTCTTTTTCTAAACTGCTTATTTTTCAAACTGTAACAAATACAAAAAAATTTACATAAATTATGGAACAGTTTAAATCTGTTTGCGAGGGGTGGGGAAGTGGAGAGGGCAACAATGCCAAGCTCTGTGGCTGGAGCAGCGAGAAAAAGAAACGTTATTCATTCATATGCATAAGTCGGAAAGCAAAGCAGCAACAACATTAATGACATCCAATACTACAATGGCTTTCGGTTAAGTAGCAGCAGCGGTGGTGCTGGTGATGGTCTTCACCCGTCATCACCATTGCTGATGTTGTTGTTGGGGCTCTGTCGTCGCCGCCGTCGTCGTCTCCTCTGCCATTGTTGATGATGACAGTAAAAGTTTTGTTTGCTAGCTGTATTACTCATACTCCAGTCAGCAGCGTTAAATCACTTGAAAACCCAAATACGCAGAGGTTGAACAGACGAGTCTTGCAAAGAATTGTTTCTGTGTCTTTTTTGGGTTATGACGAAGATTCTGTTTTTATTTTTTTGTTTTCTTTCTTTCCAACCAATAACAAGCCAGTTATTTCGTCTTCGTACCACCTATTAATGTCTTAATGTTATTGCATAGAAAACGGTAGAAACACGCAAAGAAAAAAAATCCGCCAGTCACCTTCGTCGACCATCTTCTTCACAGCCATATCAACGAATAATATTTACAACTTTTCAACGTCAAACGTGACAACATTTGTTTTGTAAAGAAATGGCAAATGTACACAGGTTGTTGTTGCTGCTGCTGTTGGTAAATGGCTGGCTGACTGGCTAGGCTAGCTGTCACTCACCGATAGCTTTTTTTACATTCTCCAATTATGTGCATAATTTTCTTTGGAAAATAAACAAAACAAACTATTACTTGTGTCTCCCCTTTCCGATACCCTCAACTCCCCTTCTTCTTAAGTAACCAAACGCTCAGTTAACACAGCTAAATCATCACCCCGCATTAACCAGGCAAAAATAGCAACGATGTTTTAACAACTATTGGGTGCGGTGCCATTTTTCCTATGGCCGGCCATACAAGTTGGTAGAAGGGGGTATTGTGGTTACGTTTTTTAAAGCAATATTGCCCTGGTGGTGGGTTAAGGGGGAGCAGGGAGCGGTTACGCTTGGAGAGTCATACAAGCAAATGACAACAATAATAATAAAAATTATTTAACAAAAAATCCACCAATCTAGCTAACATACCTGCCGCCTGCCGCCCACCACCCACCTTCACCCACAGCAGACTTGATATTTTTTTTAGTTTTGTCTAAAATTTGTGAACGGAAGAGTGAATTGCTGCTGCTAATGGCATTACGTTTTGTTTGTATTATGCCACTCATTGTATTTTACTTATTTTAGCTAATTTCAAGAATTTCGTTTCGTCAATAATAAACTGCCATAAGAAACTATTGAATAAACAAAATAAACAAAAAAACACCAACACAGTCACACAAATTCCTCCGTACAATAATTGTAAGCCATAACTCATCATCATCACCATCCATCCAACCTATACTCCTCATCGAATAACAAATCAATGCAACAACAAAAGAGTTAACTCTCGCGAGAAACACTTTATAAAATTCCAATTCCTTACTGTGTTGTTCTCTACTTACTTGTCACTTTTATATGCGTTGCGCTCCACATTGTTACTGCTGCTGTGTCTGTTGTTGTTGGTGTTTCTGGCAGTACACTGTGTTTGTGTTGGATACCGCTGCTAATGGATATTGTTGTTGTTGCTGTGCTCCCTCTTGTCGTCGTCGTTTGTTAAATTTACCTTGATGAACCACTAGAAAACCAGTGACTTTTGTTATGGGTTTTCACCGTGTTTTTTCTCTATTTTTCTTTAATTCTTGTTCCCGTTTCTTTTGTAGTTAGCAAACTTTAGAAAATCAAATATTTATTTACTTTTGGCAACACAATTTCCACACTCTTTATTTGACTTTCAATAACATTTCCACAAATATAATATGCAAATTTTTCTTTTTTCTTATTGGTATTTTTTTTTCACCTCACAAAGAAAAGAATAAAGAATACAACAACAACACAAAAACAAACGCAAGAAAACCGCCGACGACCGTGTCTTGACTCGTCCGAAAACAAAATTATGAATGACACACTAGGGATGCGTAAGTCGACTAATGATTAATCGATGAATCTTTTTGGTAATCGCAATGACAATCGCTTAAGTTAATCGAATAATCGTCAGCTAATTAAATAATCGAAGAAGGAAATAATGGATTTAGTGTCATCGACTTTTTATAAGAATTAATAATAACAGAAAATTCCAGATATATGTATTTTCACAAAATATTATTTTTAGAAAACATTTATTTTTTACATTACCTCAATATTCTAATGCGAAACTTGATTATTTTAATAATTTTCTGTCATAGGCTGTAGTATCCATTACGAACTTTAAACACCAAATTTGAAACAATTCCGGTGAATAATGGTGCGAGAATCGTCAAATAACGAATATCCGGGGGGTATCGTTACATGTAGGCTATACGAAGACGTGGTCCTACATATACAATTTTCTGTCATAGGATGTTGTACCCATTACGAACCTCAAATACCAGTTTTGAAACATTTCCGTTGAATAATGTCGCTTAAATCACCGAAATACCGAAAAAAAGGGAGGTACCATTATATAAGGGCTATACCAAAAGGTAGACCCATGGTACAATGAATTCAAGGTAGGGCAGAACTACCATATGATTTCAATTTTTTAATTTTTCAGGCTTAATATGTCAATTTTATTTCTTTATGTGTGTGTATTCTTTTAAATAAAAAATAATTGTTCAGAAAATATTCAAATTCGGGTGTTTTCAAAATGCTTATTGCGACGTATGCATCGACAAAATCTACAGTTTTTGTAGCGATATAAACCTTTAGAGATATCTAGAACATGATTTTGAAAAGAAATATTGACCTTTCATTCAGTTTTCACGGTTTTTAATTATTAGTTTAAAAAAAATGCAACAAGTTGTTTGATTTATTATTGTTTTGATACTAATTCTGACATTACAAGCCAAACAGGTAGACCTCTATACTTGCAATTTTTTCAAAGTTAGCCTACCTTGTATTCATTATACCATGGGTAGACCTACATCACCCATTTTCAATACCAAAAGTCCTGGAGACATAATACATATTTAAGTAAAATTTTATCAACCTACATCATTTCGTTCGGAAGCTAGAGTGATTTCCACAGACGGACAGACATCGCTAAATCGACATAGTTTACTAGTGTAATAAATGCATTTGTCAACCTTAAAATCTGATGTGTGGAATAACGAAAAGGCTTATTATATTTAGTTCCAAATAAAGGTATGATCTCAAAATTACCCCTACCAACAGATGCCACCATGGTTAGTTTTGGGGCTGCTAAACTCACTTAGGGTACATCGAAAATAAAATTTTATATTGCGGGAATTGGGAACTAGTCAATATCTCTCACAGCATATCCATCCAAAGATTTTCGCGAAGTTAGCAGATTAGATAACTTTTAAGATTATACATTTATTTTAATAAGGTTCCGATAGTTTATGTCTTGGAAAAGTTATTTTGAACTAGTTTTTTTTTCACTCACAAAACTGCTGTTTAAACAGATGAACGAACAGCTGTTGCGGCATGTTGCCTCATCCATCTATTCGCAGCATTCTGTGAATTGGCCTATACTTGTATAATAGTTGTTAATGTGTATGTGTACAGAGTTCAATGAAAGCACAGCGCCGTCGCCAATTGGCTTACATATGATTAATCGCCGCCGTTAAAAAAAAAAACGTTCCCCTTCGTTGTCTAAGCATAAGGCATAAATTGTTTAATTGCAAAAATCTAGAAACTACGTGGTTTTTTCATCATTCCTCAAAATTTAATTCCTTTAAATTAACGTTCAAAATCCACCAAAATGGTTTGTGTTCCTTGCTTCATCATTCCTGTCCTCCTGTATATCTGGCATAAATTCATTCAACCCATTGTGTTGCGCTACTGGAATCCATGGGAAAAGAAGGATGCCCAAGGAAATGTGATAAAAGCTGGTCCCGAATTTCCATTTGAGTGTAAGGGTGGTGTCTGCCCATATCCTGGAGCTAAAAAGAAACTAGAAGATGGCAAAACGGAAGATAATTCAACAACAACACCAGCTGCCACAGAAACAAAGCCAGTGACCACGGGAAGTTCGGATAGCAAAAAAGATGACTAAATTCTTCTAGTGATAATTAATAGAGTAATAATTTTAAAATAGCTAAAAGTAATTTTATACTTTTATGTATTGTTCAAAATGTATGTTTGTTACATTGGGGTTTGGTGTAGGTTCAATTGCTTTTAAGGTAATGTTAATGCAAATTTGACTAAGGAAGTGTACTGTATTTAATTAGAAGAAATAAATGTTATGATTTTAAAATTAAAAAAGTATATTTTTCGTTGTATTATTATATTCAATTAACACAGTTGCCTAGCCCATAGGGCCATGGACGGTTCCAAAAACTTCTATACATGACTAATCTAAATAAATATAAAGCTATCGGTCTGTTTCTTCTATCCCATTTTCAAAACTAGATATTAAAATAGTTGACATAAATATTAAGATTGGGTAGTTTGAAGGAAATCGGATACAAAATTGTTATTGTTCATTTTCGAACATGACCTAAGCTTTATCCAGGTATACCAGCAGTGTATTAATGTAGATTAAATCGTGGACTTTGTTCGCTTTCGGAATATTGACAACTTGTAGAGAGATCGTTATATTTCTTATTTTAACATAGTATTTAGAAGAACAAGTTCGGTCGGGCCGAATTTTTAATACCCTCCACCCTTGGAGGGTATTACAAACGACTTCCGCTTTAAATTACAAACACCATTGAGACCCTTTGGATAATGCTGTTAAACTTTAATATCATAAAGTGGGTGAGAGCGTTGTATGGGGGCCGTACCTACACGGGAACCTCTTTATATTTCAGGGATTGTCATCTACCAAATCTTAAATACCAAATTTGAAACAATTTCGTGTGTAAATATCACTAGGATTATCAAAATACCGAATATCAGTGGGTATCGTTATATGTAGACCTACACATTATATGTTCCGTCACAGGAGCCTAGAACCCATTACGAACTACAAATACCAATTTTTAGACAAATCCCTGGAAAAATGTGGTGAAAATCATCAAAATACCGACTACCAGGATGTATCTTTATATGGAGGCTATACGAAAAGGTGGGCCTATACATGGTGAGATGAAGAAAACTGCAACAAAGTCAAACGCCATAATTTTTACATTTTTTTAGATTTTATTGAATGAAAGCAAAAATGTCGGAAATAGCATCAAATTTTAGAATAAGTTTAGATTTGTTTAAATTGGTCACTTTTGGCCTTCAAACGGCCAATAAAACCGTCACACGATGCCCGAATGTTGCTCTGCGGTATTAGGCATTTTTTCTGATGCCACGGCAGTTCACCACTTTCGGCCAAGCGAAGCAACTCTATAGCTCTTTTGAGTCTATTTTCTTTCTGTTACGGTGCAAGTTCTTGCACTTTTTGTAATTTCAATGGCTTTACCAAAAACTCATTTTTCAATATTTGCCAAATGGAATATTGTTAAAAGACAGATTGAAGAATTTTTCCGCCCTCATTTTTATAAATTAAAAAACACTGTTTTTTTTTGTTTTAACAATTATAATATTGTATTTTGTTTTTATTTTATTTTACAGTACAGCGATTGCGTCGATCCACTATACCGAAATTTCTTTTTAAAATTGTATATGTATGTATAAAAATGTGTGTATATGTATAAAATAAGAATAATAAAGCAAAAATAGAAATAAAAGGATTCTGGGGAGTGCGGGGAAACATTTTACGAAATTTTACACAATTTAACGAGGATAGTACAAAAAAAAAACACAAGAAAAAAGTTAAATAAAAACATAATAGTAAGTTGTTTTTTTTTTTCTATTTTTTTAAGGAGATTGGGAAACATAAAAATTCCTTTTTCTTTATAAATATTAACTTGATTGGCTGTCTTGTGGGGTGGGGTCTAGGTGGCTGGAAATGCAAATTAAAAACATATGCGTGTGTATATTTATATAAAATGCCTTAGTCACTAAAAAAAGAGAGATGTACGATTATCAAAAATTAAATATTAATTAAAAATAATAATAATTATTATTATTAAATCGAGAGAGAGAAAAAAACTATTTTTTAAATTTGTCTTCATTTGTTTTGTTGTTTCTTATGTGTTATGTCTTACTTGGGGATGGGGGCATTTTCGTTTGTTTTATAAAACTTACAATTTAAAAAAAGAAATTGTAAACTAAATGAATTAAGAACCAATTGGCGGCATGGGGGAATAATACGAGAGACAAAATACAATTTTACAATATACAACATGTTTTTTAAGAAAAAAATACAAAATAAAAGGCGTTTTTTTCGTTCGTTTCAATCTTACATTTGTTGATAAAATAAACTTAAAATTTAAGGTATTCTGTTTTTTTTTCTTTTGTCTTGAGATACTTTTTACACGCGAATAAAAATTATAAAAAATATATATATTTAAAAAAACTATCTTCTTATTAGGATATATGTTATCATTACTTTTATAACTGGCATTTTGTTTGTATTATGATATTTTTTTTAACTAAGTAAATGGCCAGCTGTAACCGCCGGCCCTCTTGAGTTGGAAGCAATAGTTTTCAGTTTTTTGTCTTTTTTTTTATTATTTTATTAATTAGATTCCACTTACATAAATTGTAATAATTAAAAACAATATTCTTAGTTTATTATTAAACTAAACCGAATCTAAATGAAAAACTTACTAATGTAGTCGAGTTGGGTGTGGGGGTGGGGGGAGTGGTAGAATAATGTAAATATAATTTTTTAAGATTCTAATTTCAAGAAATTTGTCTTCTACAGTTTGTTGGAGAATTCATAAAAATATAAATGTTTAAAATTAATTTTAGTTTTTAATTTAAAGCTTAATTATCGAAATGATAAAACAAAAATATTTATACAATTTATTTATTTGCATTTTTTTTTAAGAAGGGGGGTGGAGAGAATGCTAAACAAAACGAAATGTGGGTAGGGAGAGACTGTGCATAATATTTGTTCCTTGTATTCGAGGATTTGTTGGTTAGTTTCAAAGAGATTCTCAAATGAGTTTCATTGTTTCAAGCTGATTTCTTTTTTCATAAGTTCCGCATACATACATATGTGTGCATATGTAAAAGGCTTATGTTGTGTTTCTGTCTGGTTTGTCGTCGTGCAAATCTGTCTGTTAAGCTTACAAATTATGGCTTTTTTCGTTTGTTTGTTTGTTTCTTGGTTACTTAACTCAGTCCCCGGGACTCTGTTTTTGAAACAGAGCACCCCGGGCGACTTTTATCTATATAATAATCTACATACATATGTGGTCCTTACAGTGCTAAGTATTTTAAATTTATTTATTTATATGCCTTCATTTTCGTTTAAATATTCACCTAAAATTAAAATAAGTCTCTTTGCATTTAGCATTTCAAAAAGGTATTATCATCCATACATCCATCTGTCTGGTGGTGATAAATACCCACACTACTTCCATGTTCCATAGAGAGTAAACTGTAGGTGTGGAAAACTCCCTTTTTACTTTCATTGTCAAATGTAAATGGCCTCGGATCCTTTGTTGGCCTGATGGCCACCCGATATATAGAGATTATTGGCACCCGGCGATTGTACACCCTCTGACCAATCGGAACGCGGCGACGATGATGACCAATGGCCTGGAGATTCGGGTGATGGCGTTGGATAGCTATCCAAGGTTTGTACCATGTGCTGGGGCGTATGACTGCCCGAATGTTGGCTAGGCGGCGTCAGGTACTGATAGAAGGCCTGATTGTGCTGTGATGATGGTGACAACATGTTGGCTGTTGACGGTGATGAGGCTGACATTGAACTTTGTATGGATGGTGGATTCATTTGGCCCGAGTGAAATGAGTCTGAAAGAATATATACAACAAATTAATAAAATATATAAAAGTAATAGATTTATAAAATTTATAAATATATGTTTTATTTTGGTAAACGCAGGACAAAAAAACGAATTAGGTGATGTAAAAAAATCAAGTTATATTTTGCAAGCTACATGTGGAAAATGCTTCATAGGTGAAAAGTTTAATAAATTCCAGAGAAGGAACAGGAAGATAGAGGAAATAACATTAAGGACGGACCCTGCACATATCCGTTAAAAAATTCTGTTAAAATCTTAAAAAATACCGAATACAGGGAGTTACCGCTATTTGGAATCCATACGTGCACCTGCGGAAACAATTTTCTGTAACAGACTGTTAGACCTACAAATACGAAATTTAGAACAATTCCGGTGAATATTGTCGATGAAATCATCAAAATACCGAATATAGGGAGGTACCGCTGTATGGGGGCTATACGAAGACCTAGTCCTGTATAGGCAATTTTCTGCCACAGGTTGAAGTACCCATTAGGGACTTCAAATACGAAATTTTAAACAATTCCGGTAGATAATGTATTGGTAGGTACCGCTACATGGGGGCTATAGGAAAACGAGGACCTGTACAGATAAATTTCTGTCACAGGCTGTATTATCCATTAGGAACTTCAAATTCGAAATTTGAAACAATTACGGCGAATAATGTCGCTAAAATCAGCGAAATACTGAATATCGGGAGGAACCGGTATATGGGGGCTATACGAAGATCTGGACGAGCATAGGCAATTTTCTGTCACAGGTTGTAGTGTCCGTAACGAACTGCAAATACGAAATTTGAAACAATTCCGGTGAAAAATGTCGCTGAAATTAGCAAAATACCGAATATAGGGAGGTACCGTTATATGGGGACTATACGAAGACCTTGTCCTGTATAGGCAATTTTCTGTCACATGTTGAAGTACCCATTAGGAACTTCAAATACGCAATTTGAAACAATTCCGGTGAATATTGTCTCTGAAATCAGCAAAATACCGAATATAGGGAGTACATTTATATGGGGGGCTGTACCAAAACGTGGACTCATATAGCCCATTTTGAATACCAAAAGTCCTGCTGGCCAAAGACATGTCTGAGTAAAATTTTATCAACCTTCTTCATTTCGTTCGGAAGCTACAGTGATTTCCACAGACGGACTGACATCTCTAAATCGACATAGAATTTTATGCTGATCAGGATTATATATGTGGGGTCTAAAATGTGTAATGACAAACTTAATATACCCCTAATTCTATGGTGGAGGGTATAACAAAATATTATGTATTTGGATTCGAAATAGTTTGATATTGCGGCGGCATGATCTCTATGAATTTAGAAACACAAATTCAGGTTATGTTTCAATAACAGGTTCATGAGAAAAATTTCCATTTTAAGACCTAACACTTCATTTCCAGTTTATAATTGTTATACCCGACCAAATTCGATTCATATTCAGACTCGTAACTCACCTGGTGATCCACAAAAACTATTCAAGTCCAAGCCTGCTGAACTGAAATCGATACCGCCACCACCTCCATTGTTATTACCCATTTGCTGTTGTTGTTGCTGCTGCTGCTGTTGTTGTTGTTGCATCGATTGTAATATTGCACTATTCTTATTCTGCTGTTGCTGCTGTTGTTGTTGCATTTGTTGTTGCTGCTGCTGTTGTTGCTGGGAAGCCATCATAATACCCATATCACTGCCAGTTGGCGAAATAATGCCCAAACTAACTGGCGAATTTTGACTGCTAGGTGTTTGGAAATTCATGCTGTTGGGTGAATTCTGGGTCTGCATTGTGGAAGCACCGCTTGCCACACCGTTGCCATTGGTGTTGCCACCGCCACCCAACAGGGTGTTTAAATTACTGCCACAAAACTGTTTTTGTTGGGTGGCATGGCGCATGGCCTGCATATGGGTGGGTGATGTGGGTAAACTGGGACGTGATTTGGCAGGTGAAGGAGATCCTAAAAGAAAGAAAAATAAACAATTAACTCAAATACTTTAAGGGTAAGTAATTTCCAAAAACTTACCCAAATAGGCATGCGGTGACAAGGCCATATTCGACTGCACCGAATGCGGTGGCGATTGATTGGAATAGGGTGGACTCAGACCCTGTTCATGGCCACCCATGACATTGTTGCCATTTAAACCACTGTTGTTATTGGGATTGCCATTCATGAGGTCCTGATGAAACGGCGAACCCATGGAATAGCCATAGTTTTCCATTTTGATCATGTCATGGCTTTGCTGGGGTATCAAAGACTGCATGGATTGGGCATTCTGAAAACAAGAAGAAACAAACAATTAAAACCTGTTCCCAATTCTCTATCCTCTCAATCTCCTTACCTTAACACAATCCTCATAGCTCGGTGGGTGCTTCACATTGTTGCTCCCCAGCAGATCGTTGTGATGATTGTTGGGGCCGCCGCCCCCGTTCATGGCGTTCGAATACATCGACGTGGCATCGTAGGGACTCGGCTGACTTGTGAGCGCCGTCGGCGGCGGCGAATCCACCGAACTGAGAGCTGCATCCAGCAGCTGTTGTTGTTGATGGCTCTCCACCGAACCGGGGCCCTGCGCCGTCGGCCCACCAGCCAGCCCATTCAGCAACTGTGATGCCGTAAGGTTGCTGCTGTTGTTGCTGTTTGCTCCCTTTTTTGAGGCCGGCTGGTGGCCTAAACCCTTTTTTGAACTCGGTTTACGTCTGAGGCTGCCGCCATTGTCGAGTAGATTGTCGGGACTGCCCTCCAAGAGTTTGGCCTTCTTGGCTGCCTTATTTTGTGCAGCCTTTGAGGTTTTACCGGCTGCAATCACAGTTGGCTGGGTAATCATTTGAGGTTGGCTTCCGGGTGGCGGTGAGGCAATCATTGTTTGTGGGGTCATGGCCAGCATTTGGGGTGAGCGTGGTACATGTTCGTCCAGCAGGCGTACAATGTCGTGATGTAGACGTTCCGAGGCAACATCGCGTGGCAGGCGATCCATGTGATCGGTAATTTCACGATTGGCAAAGTTATCCAGCAATGCCTTGCAGGCTTCGTAGGAGCCCTCACGGGCAGCCAGGAACAAGGGTGTTTCATCTTTATCGTCCTGAGCATCGCGATTGGCATGATGCATAAGTAGAATATTGACGGCTTCGGTGTTGTTGACGGCAGCGGCCCAGTGTAGGGCAGTTTTACCCGAATTGTCGGCAGCATTTATATCAGCATCGGCAGTAATTAAATCTTCGACCATGCCTTCAATGGCCAGGCGGGCAGCCAAAATCAGGGGAGTGGTACCATCATGCATGCGGGCATTCAAATTGGTGGCACGATTTCTCAGCAGAATTTGGAAAACACCCATGGCATCAGCAGCCACAGCGGCATGTAGAGGGGTACGTCCTGTATTATCCTGGCAATTTGCATCGGCTCCAGCATCCAAAAGTCTCTTGGCAGCATCGGCTCGGGCATAACGGGCAGCCAAATGGAGGGATGTTTCACCAGTCTTATCCATGGTGGCATTCAACTCCGCACCCTGAGCCAATAGATCAGAAATAACTTGGGCTGTGGTATCATCGGAATTTTCAATGTCTTCACCATTGTCAATGCCACCACCGCGCACAGCAGCCACCATAAGGGGTGTCATGCCACAGGGACCACGAACATCCACATCATGTTTGCCATCCTGATGCGCCGGGGGTGTCATGATTGAGGAACGTACATCGGCCACATCCAAATGGGCCTGGGACCAAACACGATTATCTGCTTCCTCATAATCCGTAACCATGGTATGATCACTGGCATAGCCTCCATGATCGTTACGCAGCCGTTTGGGTTGTGGCATATCCGATTCATCATCCGACCATTGGGGAGCATGACCCATGTGCCCTGAATTCATGTTCACATCATTGCTCATGCAGGCCATGGAGGGATTTTTATTTAAATTTCTCATCTCCTGGCCGGTGGGATCGCGGCGTCTACGTTGGGGATTAATGGTGGGGGTGCGGAATCCCTCAGGGAACCAGGTGATGCCAGCAGCTCTCTTACGTTGTGTGGTCACCAAGACACCGAACAAGGCAAAGGCCAAGACAACCAAAATTATGCCCAGCGTAACATATTTCACATTGGTGGGTGTTTCAATCATATCCTCGCCAGGATTTTGTACACCTCTCACACTGTAGATGGGGAATTTCGAGGATAGGGTATATTTCGAAGCAGAGGCAGCCAAGAATTCAGCAGCTTCGGCGGCACGATAGAAACACTCGGTACACTTGCGATTATCAATTTCCAAATACACCTGTATGCCGGTCTGGCCAATGCGTTCTGTGAAGAGAATCTTATTTTTACGTCCAAAATCGGTATTCTGGATATCGTTGATGGGTTGGGTGCCCTTCCACGAAAAGATCATATCATTGCCCAGGGGATCCTTTTTAATTCGCACCGTGGTTCGCAGATGATGGCCCATTTCTCTCAAAAAGACCACTTGTTGTTCCCTAAACTGTTTCACATCCATGAGTACCACAACCGATATGGCACCATCAGCCAAATTGGGTGGTTCCGCCTCATTTTCACAATCCAAACCATCCCAGTTACATTCGGCATTGTTACAACCATAATCGCAGAATCCATTGGCGTAATGCTTAGAACAGTAGGCATCATAGACCGGGTTACATGGCTGCAACTTCTTCTCACAATCTCGACCATCATAGAGACAGGCGGCGTTGTTGCATTCCTCATTACATTTACCATCCATGAAGACCTGCCAGCATTGTATGGTGGCGGTACAGTTAACCCAGGGATTAATGCCCAACGAACAGTCATTGCCATCAAAGTTACAGGCATAGGTGTTGCACTCAGGATCGCAGACGTGATTGCCCTTCTTCTCCTCACATCCTCGCTTTATGCACATTTCCCGTTGATATTCCAAATCCTTGGAGTACTTGTTTTGTAGACCACGCGAAGGATCCATTACCCAGCCAGGATAATTTGGGTCATAGCTTTCACAACGTTTGCCATTCCATTTGGCCGGGCAGAAGCACACGAAATCTCCTAGCAAATTGTCACAGGCAGCTCCTTGTAGGCAGGGATTGGGGGTACACTCATCCATGGTGTCACGTTCACAGTGACGACCTTCCGTACCACGGGGACATTCACAGCGATAACCGCCACCATCATCGATTACACAGGTGCCCGCTTGGCAGGGATTCGAATCACAGTCGTGGCCAGAGAATTCACAATTTTTGCCATAGAAACCTTCGGTGCACAGGCAATGATGGCCACCCTGTTTCGGTGAGCATATGCCACCATTCTGGCAGGGGGAATTGGCACAGAAATCCACTTTGTTTTCACAATGTCTTCCCATGTAGCCGGGTTTACAGTTGCAGTGATAGTTATTGACCAATTGGACGCAGTCCAAGGTGCCAGCGTTGGAGCAAGGATTTGAGAGACATTCATTAATATCTCCCTCACAACGGGAGCCCACAAAACCAGGAGGACAAACACACTCAAAACCACCCACACGATCGATACAGGTTCCATTGTTGTGACACGATCCACGCTTGCAGTCATTTTCATTTACCTCACAAATCAAGCCAGCCGTTCCAGGAGGGCAACTACAGCTGAATGTGTTGACCAAATCGTGGCAGGTTCCACCATTTTGACAAGGATTCGGCGAGCAATCATCAATGTTCAGTTCACAGTTCTGGCCTTGGAAACCTTTGCGACAGCTACAGGCATATGAACCAATCAGATCCCGACAAGTGCCACCATTCAGACAAGGCTGTGATTCACATTCATTGATTTCCTGTTGGCAATAGCTTCCGGTATAGCCCTGCTTGCAGTAGCACCGATGTATGTTGCCGTGCTCCTTACAGGTGCCATTGTTGCACAACTGTTCCAAGGATACTCCCTTGCGGATGGCAGCATCACTACACGAGACCATTTCCACATCACACAATTTACCCGTCCATCCAGGGGCGCAACGACAACTGAATTGATTTCTAACCTGGGTACAGGTGGCTCCATTCTCACAGGGTGACTTGTGGCACCAGTCGACATAGTCGGTACACTGTTTGCCCGTATAGCCATAGGAACAGTGGCATGTGTACTCATCACCATTTTCATGACATGTAGCACCATTTTGACACGGCTGGGAGTCGCATTTGTTGATCTTATATTGGCAATTGGAACCCGTGTAACCTGGCAGACAGGAACAGTTGTAGCTATTGATGCCATCAATGCAGGTGCCACCATTCATACACGAACTCTCGGTACAATCTTCATCATTGGTCTGGCAATTGATACCAGAAAATCCGAGAGGACAGGTACAGGTATAGGAGTTGACATACTGGCGACAAGTTGCACCATTCTGACATGGTAAACTCAGACACTCATTGATGTCCGTCTCACAGTGTTTGCCATCGAATCCGTCCACACACAGACAGGTATAATCACCAATGCCATCCAAACAGGTGCCACCATTTTGACACGGGAACATGGCGCAGTCATCGGTGTTGATGGCACAATCATGGCCCTCATAACCCTTGGCACATATGCAACGATACGATCCGGGAACATTGTGGCAGGTGGCACCATTACGGCACGGGGTTGACAGCTTACACTCATCGATATCCTCATCACAATAGCGTCCCGTGTAGCCCAATTTACAGCGGCAGGAGAAATCCAGAAAATTCGGAGATGGCGAACATTTGGCATCATTGCGGCAACGATTGGTGGCACAAGGATCCAGCTTGGACTCACAATCCACTCCAGTGTAGGGTACTTTGCAGACACATTTATAGCCATTAACCTTGTCGATACAGGTGCCACCATTGGCACAGGGATTGTTGATGCAGTCATCGATATTTGTCTCGCATTTCAGGCCCGTATAACCTGGCATACATTGACACTTGAAGGCATTCAATTCGTCGACACAGAAGCCACCATGTTGGCAGGGATTCGAGGAGCACTCATCGATGTCAATTTCACAACGTTTGCCACCATAGCCGGGAGGACAGTGGCATATAAATTCATTTATGCCATCTTCACAACGGCCTCCATTAATGCAGGGATTCGAGGCACACTCGTCCACATCGCTAAGGCAACGCGAATCGTAGAAGCCCCTTGGGCACTCACATTTATAGCCATTCACCAAATCCATGCAGACACCATTGTTGGCACAGGGATTCGAGGCACATTCGTTGATGTTTATTTCACAGTGGACACCCGTGAAACCGGGCACACATTGACAGGTGTATTTGTTGATGCCATCGATACAGGTGGCTCCATTGTTACACGGATTGCTGTGGCATTCGTTGACATTGATTTCACAATCCTTGCCCGATGTTCCCGGCAGACAGTGGCACACATAGGAGCCCACACGATCCACACAATGGCCGCCATATTGACAGGGATTCGATTCGCATTCATTGATTTGGGTCTGGCACAAATACCCCGTGAAGCCAGGATCACAGACGCAGGTGAAACGATTATCACCATCAATGCACTTGCCACGATGACAGGGATTCGAATCACAATCGTTGATGTTGATTTCACACGACAGCCCCGTATAGCCCGGCGGACATTCACAGGTATAACCAGCTATGGAATCATGGCATATTCCACCATTACGGCATGGCTGAGATTGGCAATCATCGATGTTTATCTGACATCTGGACCCAGTGAAACCCATGGCACAGGAACATTTGAAACCATTGATCATGTCGTGGCAAACACCACCATTGAGACAGGGATTCGATTGACATTCATTGATATCGATTTCACACTGGGTGCCAGTGAAGCCAGGCATGCATACACAGCGGAAGGTTCCAGGATCATCGAGACAGCTACCTTCATTCTGACACGGATGGGATTCACATTCATTGATATTCGTTTCACAACGTGGTCCAGTGAAGCCCTGCGAACAGTTGCAGCGAAATGAGCCTGGGGTGTTGACGCAAACGCCGTTGTGCTCACATGGCGATCCTTGATCACATTCATCAATGTCCTCGGAACAATCCACCCCTTTGTAGCCAGTGGCACAGGAACAGGTGTATGACCCATTAATGGGACTTGTATCGCACACAGCATCCGAATGACAGGGGTTTGAGGTACATGCATCGTCTAAATGACATAGGAGACCCGTTTTGCCAGGCGAGCAGCGACAATAGAAGGAACCAACGCCATCGATACAAGTGGCTCCGTATAGGCAGGCAGCAGCAACACAATCATCAATATTTTCGCTACAATCCGGACCGGCCCAACCATTGACGCAAATACAGGAGTATGATCCCTGAGTGTTTGTACAAGTAGCACCATTTTGGCATACGGAGGGTCTAGAAGGGAAAAAATTGATTTTTTTTAATTATTAAATTATATGAGAAATTACTAAATTATTCGTCAGGTTGTAAAATATTTTATATTTAAATATTTTATTTTTTGTATGTTTTATAATAGCTCGTTGTCCTCCTTACCTTATGGCACATTCATCCACATCCTTTTCACAGTTTTCACCGGTATAATTGGGCGGGCAGGCACATCGATAACTATTAATGCCATCAATACAGGTGCCACCATTCTGACACAAATGCCCAGGGCAATCATCAATATTTTGTTCGCAATTTTTGCCTTGATAACCTGCAAAAAATATAAAAAAGAAACGAATTAATAAATAACTGAAGAAGATATATTTAGAGGTTTTTAAAATTTTCAACAACATTAGCAACACTTTTATTAATAAGTATAAGTAAGTATAAGCTACCCTGCTATATAATATAAGGACAAAATGCAATTTTGCTTTTGTCTTAAATTATCCCTCTTGTTGACTGATGCTCTAGAAACACGATTTTCAGTAGGTTTGGAATATGGTAAAATCTTTCATAACATTCAACAAAAAATAGAATTAGCTTTAATTTATTTTGACGTGATTGGAATATGACAACATATTTCATTTGAATATGATAACATTCATTTAATTGTAGCGTTTTTATTTTAGACTACATTAGCAACACTTGATTATAAGTAACAGAAAATAGCATTAAATTTTAGCGTTTTTTTATTTTGGCATGTTTGGAATTTGGCAACATCTTTCATTAGAATATGATAACACTCATTTAATTGTAGCGTTTTTATTTTAAATTACATTAGCAACACTTTCTTCTACACAAAGAGTGAAGAGTAACAAAAATAGAATTAAATTTTAGCGTTATTTTATTTTGGCGTTTTTTATTGTTAGACAACATTAGCAACACTTTTAACATAAGTAACCGGCTTTTAGTCGTTATTCGTCCCTTCTACACACAGAGAGTGAATAGTAAGAGAATTATCTATAAATCGATATGCAAAAATGGGGGGCTCTCTCTTTTGCAACGATCACTCATGAGTGGGGATAAAATGAAGAGACTAACTGAAACAAATCATAAATAAAGAGGGGAGAATTAGTTTCTCTTACATGGATACACATATTGAAGTAGATAAAAACAAATATAAAAAAACACAGAAAATCAGCATAATTTCTAATGTGTGTGTGTTTGTGTGAGGATGTAAGGAATCAGCGGTGCTCAAGAAGAAATATCTGTTTTCAGTCAAATTTCTCTTTGCTTATTTAAATCAAGAACAAAACAGTGTTAAGTCATTATTTATACAAATATTTTTTATCCATTTGCTTTATAAACTATTTTTTCAAACATTCGTGTTTAAAAACAATTAAATAGAACCGTAAAACATAAAGAAAAACAGAATTTTAATTTTCTCTTAAATTATCTCTTTTTTCTCTTCATGTTCTAGAACACGGTTTTGAGCACCCCTGAAGGAATGCTATTGACAAAATCATGCAAGATGGGAACAATTAAAATAAACAAATCTAAGTTCAAATGCAATGACTAGGGAAAATATTTTGAGAAAAAGAAATTTAAAAATGACCGGAGAATATTTTGAAGTTAGAGAGAGAAATTTTTTTAGATAAATTTAATTTGTTAAATTAAGGGTAAAGGTAGCATTCTGTTTTGTTTAAGAAATAAAATAGCCACAAAAATAATAAATATAAATCAAAATTCTAAATTAAAAATTCTGAAACCATAGGCCTAATTGCTTTATAATAGAGAACATAAAAAAATTAAATAAAAATTGTAAAAGTGGTATTGATTTATTTCACCAACATAAATGCTAAATTGCCTATATTGGAGAGCAAAGAAAAAAACAACAACAACAAAAAATATCAATCAAGTTATTCACACAACAAATCTTCCATATCGAGCCAGGAACGTACGTATGAGTAAGAATAGTAGCATAGTAATGTAGTGGCCGTTGTGGTGGACAATCGCCAGATATGCCCATGGTTTGACCACTGATTCGTTCAATCTTCATTCCAAAGAGCTCCATACATACACATGCAGTATCTTTAGTATCTTTCTTTATACTTCACCATAATCAAATTGTACTCAATTTTTGTATGCGGAGTTTTGTACATTGCCTAAGGCAAACATATTTCTCCAAATATGAACAGTGTTGCCAAATTTTGGCCGATAGGAAATTAGGGACCTCGAATTGGGGACCAAAGACCCCTAAGTATGCAATACCGTATCTTAATGTGTAAGTGGCATTTGTTTAAGGGTCTACGGTTGCGGACATGAATTTAGAAAGACCTATTCTCATTTTCCATAAAATAAAAATCAGAAAGGCAAAAAATTGACCACAAAAATTATAAATTTTTTGAAACCAATGAATTTTTTTTTACAAATTTTCGTTTTTTAAAGTGACCAAAAAATATTTTCATAAAAAATATTAAATTAAAAAAAATTAACCCAAAATTCCCTTTAACCAAAAAGTGGCCACACCGCTAAAACCAAACGAAAGAAATTACACAAAACACTAGCGTACACACACACACCAACAAATAAACAAACAGCAACAAGCAAATCAAAACGAAACGATGAAAAAACAATAATAATAACAGCACCAGCAACAACAACAACGCAAAGGCAAAAACAACGACGACGACGTTGTCGTCTTGAGATCTTCTTTCCCACGGTTCATATCTTGTATGTTTTAGTATGTTGTTGCTGTTATGCTTTATGCCCAGCCAACCAGCCAGCCAACTGTTATGGTTAGCCAGGCCAGGCCAGACGAGGCAGGCAAACAAACGAGCGACAACAACAAAAGCAAAAAAAAAGCTAAACAGCCATGTGCACACACAGATACTGTGCTGTGAGTCAGTTTGGCGGTGGCGGCGGCTACACATGCGCACAACTACACATTAAGTTTATCCCAACCCCAAAGGTGTTGTTTTTCTTAATGTTGTTGTTGTTGTTCTGTTTCGGTTCAACCTTCTTCTCATTCGTTGTCTGTCGTTTAACGAAGTCTTCAGTTGTATTTGTTGTAAAGAAAACGAAGGCAAACACGGCAAAACTTAAGAAGAAGAAGAAAAAAACATAAACGATGGATGGGGTTCGGTTCGTGTGTTTACGATGGCCGGTTTGATTTGTTAGTTTGTTGTTTGTGGTGTTTCATCGTGGAGGGGTTTTTCTTCAGTCGCTGCTGCTGCTGTTGTACTGATGTATGTATGTTTCTAGGCATATGTGTTTGCTTGCTGATGATTTTTCTTTTCTTGAGGTGGTTTTGGATCAAAGTTTTTATTGTCTTTATAGGCATTTTTTTCATTTTTCGTTCTTTTATTTTGGTTTTCTTGTTTTTGTACGTTTTCTCCCCATTCTTGAAAAGTCCAAAGAATAACCAGTGAATTATCTCTCTCGTCTTAATGGTTCTCTTACTCTCTCTGTCATAAAGTTAATTAATGCACATTTCTATGACAAATCGTAACACTGTGTTGCTTGTCTTAAAGCAAAGAAATGCATGTCTTGTCCAGCACCGTTACAGTCCCAATGCATTCATTGTCTTTATGCCGAACTTTTCGTCGTTGTCGTTTATAATCGTATCCCATCTCCCAAGTAACAATTTAGTTATGTAGTTGCGGATTTAAATGTAATTACAACAACAACAACTAAACACAGTACTTGTTTAATTTTCTGTATGGTAAACGCCCTCTCTCTTTCACTCATTTACTCTCATTACATCTGTGATTATTCCATCCAGAGATGGGATAGTTTTATTTTAGTGATGCTACCCTTACTAATATGTCAGAAACCTAATTGAGGCATAAATTCGCAAATTTAGATCAGTAGGATGTCTCCTATGAATTGGTGTTCTATATGGGATCAGAGTAGGTATTCTCTTGGGTGATAATCTATAAAATATTGTTTGACATTTGATCTATTGAGCGCCTGTTGGAGGCATTTGTGGGAGAGCAAGAGGAAGCGAAGGGAGAATAAATAATTAGGTTTAGGTTATTTCTTTACTCTCTTTCAGCTTCCTTGTCTTAATCAGAATTCCGTTCTTTTTTAGATTTTATTGAAATAGATACTTTTTCGAAAGAGGTAGAAAGGGGGAGTACAATTTCACTATCTCAAAATCTCATCTCTTTTGGAATCCAGTTCCGAGTTTTTACCGAGAACGAGTATTTCAGTTTGAGAACATAATGTGATTCTTAAAGAGCGGGGCTTTTTATACCGTCAGCCATATGGCTAGAGAGGGTATATATCATTTGATACGGCCAAAACGTGCCTCATCGAAATAACGATTTTAGACCCTAGGTCTCTTTGAACCAAATCCGTTTCAGGCCATTTAGAGACGATCTAGCGATGTTTGTCCGCCCGTCTGTCTGTCTGGCTGGTGAGCACTATGACTCTCGAAGGGAGTTTGGACAAAATCGGATGGTCAAAACTTGGTACATCGTAATATTATTGTCAAACTTAGATCGAGTTCGGAGATGGGCAATATCGGTCCACTCCTTCTGTCTGGCTGGTGAGCACGATAACTCTCGAAGGGAGTATCCGATTTGATCCAAACTTGGTACATCGTAATATTATTGTCAAACTTAGTTCGAGTTCGGATATGGACAATATCGGTCCACTCCTTCTGGTACCTGCCCCACAAAATTTCAGCATTTTCAAAGAAAATTATTTACTAAACAGAAAGAAAAGTCCGATTTTGCTCCAACTTTGCAAATTCTAATATTTGCATCAGTGCTAGGTCAGGTGCAAAAATGGACAATATCGGTCCACTCCATAAAGTACCTACCCCACAAAGGGTCAAAATTTTGAATAATTGTAAATCTTATAAAATCTGATGTAAGTGTCCGATTGTCTTCAAATTACTCACATCACAACATTTTTATTAACCCAAGGTCTGGTGTGAAGATGGAATATATCGGTCCACTTCTTCCGGTACCTCCCCCACAAAGGGTCAAAATGTTGAATATGTATGAAGCAACGAAATTAACATTCGATTCCAATCAGACTTGGAACATTTCAATATTTTTATCAACACAATATATGTTATGAAGATGATAGCGATCGGACTATTCCTTCTGGTACTTCTCCCAAAAAGGGCCAAAGTTTTGAATAACCAAAACGATTATAAAATCCGAAATAAGCATCCGGTTCTCTTAATATTTCACACAACCCATTATTTCTACTAATACAAGACCTGCTGCGAATATGGCATATATCGGTCCACTCTTTTTGGTACCTCCCCCACAAAGTGTCAAAATGTTGAATATCCATGCATCTCATAAAACGCGA